GCACAGCAAAAGAAATTATCATCAGAATGAACAGACAATCTACAGAATGGAAGCACATTTTTGCAGTCTATCCATCTGACAAAGGTTAATATTCAGAGTCTACAAAGAACTTAAACAAATCTACAAGAATAAAACTAACAACCCCATTGGAAAGTGAGCAAAGAATAATAAACACTTCTCAAAAGAAGACATTTATGTGGCCAACAAACATGAAAAAACATTCAACATTAGTGATCATTAAAGAAATGCAAATCAGGCCAGGCGCAGTGGCTCAAGCCTGTAATCCCAGCACTTTGGGAGGCCGAGGCCGGCCGATCATGAGGTCAAGAGAACCAGACAATCCTGGCCAACATGGTGAAACCCCGTCTCTACTAAAAACACACACACACACACAAACACACAAATGTGCTGGGCGTGGTGGCTTGTGCCTGTAGTCCCAGCTACCTGGGAGGCTGAGGCAGAATTGCCTGAACCCGGAGGCGGAGGTTGCAGTGAGCCAAGATCACGCCATTGCACTCCAGCCTGGGTAACAAGAGCGAAACTCCGTCTCAAAAAAAAAGAAATGCAAATCAGAATCACAATGAGATACCATGTCACGCCAGTCAGAATGGTGATTATTAAAAAGTCAAGAAACAACAGTGTTGGTGAGGCTATGGAGAAACAGACATGCTTTTACACTTTTTGTGGGAATATAAATTAATTCAACCATTGTGAAAGCCAGCATGGTGACTCCTCAAGATCTAGAACCAGGTATACTACTGGACCCAACAATCCCATTAGTGGATATATACCAAAAGAATATAAATCATTCTATTATAACGATACATGGATGTGTATCTTCATTGCAGCACAATTCACAATAGCAAAGACATGGAATCAACTCAAGTGCCCATCTACAATGGACTGGAAAAGGAAATGTGGTGCCGGGTAATCACACCACATGGTGGCTCACGCCTGTAATCCCAGCACTTTGGGAGACTGAAGTGGGTGGATCACGAGGTCAGGAGTTCGAGACCAGCCTTACCAACAAGGTGAAACCCCATCTCTATTAAAAATGCAAAAATTAGCTGGGCGTGCTGGCACACACCTGTAGTCCCAGCTACTCAGGAGACTGAGGCAGGAGAATTGCTTGAACCCAGGAGGCGGAGGTTGCAGTGAGCCGAGATCATGCCACTGCATTTCAGCCTGGTGCCTAGCAACAGAGTGAGACTCTGTCTCAAATTAAAAAAAAATGCAAAAATTAGCCAGGCATGGTGGCATGTACCTGTAATCCCAGCTACTCAGGAGGCTAAGGCAGGAAACTCACTTGAACCCAGGAAGCAGAGACGGCAGTGAGCCAAGATGATACCACTGCACTCCAGCCTGGGTGACAGAGTAAGACTCCATCACAAAAAAAAATTTAAAAATAAAGAAAATAAAAGGTACTCTGCTTGATTATCCTCTTTACAGCAAAACAATTTTTCAGTAATCCCTGAAAAAATTGCCTTCATGAGAGAGCCAGGCATCATGGCTCACATCTGTAATGACAATTATGGGGCACACTCAGGTTGGAGAATTTCTACAGGCCAGGATTTCAAGACCAGCCCAGGCAATAAACAAGACCCCATCTCCAAAGTAAGTGCCTTTAGGAGACCTTTGAGATTTACAGAGGGAATTGTGAAACTCTGCTAAAGCCCAAAATTGAGGAGTGTTTTTTTCAGAGGACAGGACCTCATTCAGGTGGGAAACTACCTGATCTTGGCTACAGAACAAGAAATGGCCCAACCAACTTGGTCCCACTGAGAATTCTGAAGTTAACCCTGTAATTATTACAACCGCCTCCCTGTTACAGTCTGAGAGAGGTCCTGCCCTACCAGAGACGTGGAGGAAGATACCCATTTACAGCCACATAGTTTTTACTGTGGCCCCTCAAGCAGTTCAGTAACTCAGTTCCAGATCTCTGAGCCAAACTTCATTACCACTTTTGCCTAAACAGAAATTCACACAGTGACTTGAGACCACTCTGTGTACTCACTCAGTGAAAGCCATACCCATTCACCTGCTGATATAAGGGCCATTATATATGGACCCAACTGCAGAAACCTGTCCTACAGATCAAAGTCCTGAAGGATAAAATCTGTCCAAAAATAAAATGGAAATTACAACTACCCAAACCCTTTGTAACAAGCCACCTAAAGGTGGACCCTAGTGCAGACGCAGCAGCCTGTGACCAAGCTACAAACCCTCCACTACAAACCCAGAGGGCATCCCATCACTCTAGGCACACAACAGAAAATGATCTTTGCCTCCTGAAACCAGTTTATAAAATCGTAAGGAGTTCTTGCTCCTTCAAATTCACAGACACCAATATAAAAACATACTGTGCCCACCGTCAATGCTTCTATTTTAACATGGATCTGAAAGTGTGTGGCACAAGAATTACTCAAAAACATTTTTAAAAAGCCATTGGAATTGAAAAGAAATAAGTAAAAATTGCTGTTTGTGAATTATATGATGTTATATATAAAAAACCATAAACAGGCCGGGCGCGGTGGCTCAAGCCTGTAATCCCAGCACTTTGGGAGGCCAAGGCGGGTGGATCACGAGGTCAAGAGATCGAGACCATCCTGGTCAATATGGTGAAACCCCGTCTCTACTAAAAATACAAAAAATTAGCTGGGCATGGTGGTGCATGCCTGTAATCCCAGCTACTCGGGAGGCAGATACAGGAGAATTGCCTGAACCCAGGAGGCGGAGGTTGCGGTGAGCCGAAATCACGCCATTGCACTCCAGCCTGGGTAATGAGCGAAAACTCTGTCTCAAAAAAAAAAAACATAAACAATATATTAAAATTTGTCTAAACTAATAAATACAGTCAGTAACTTAACAAAGTATAAAATTAACATAGAAGTTATGGTTCCATACACTTAACACAAAATATCTGATACAATAGAGAAAGAAAACAATCTTATTTACAATAGCATTAAAATATTAATTTCTGAGAACAAATTTAACCAAGAAGATGAACAGTCTTTGCAATGAAATATATAAGATATTAATGAAAGAAATTAGAGAAGACAAAAATAAATGTAAAAATATTTTATGCTGGCTGAGTGTGGTGGTTCACACTTGTAATCCCAGCACTTTGTGAGGCTGAGGCAGGTGGATTATGAAGTCTGAAGATAGAGACCATCCTTGACAACATGGTGAAATCCTGTCTCTACTAAAAATACAAAAATTAGCCAGGCATGGTGACACATGCTTGTAATCCCTGCTACTTGGGAGGCTGAGGTAGGATACTCACTTAAACTCAAGAAGTAGAGGTTGCAGTGAGCCAAGATCACACCATTGCACTGAAACCTGAGTGACACAGTGAGAATATGTCTCAAATAAAAAAAATTATGCCTATGGATTGAAAGAATAAATATTACCGGGTGTGGTGGCTCACTCCTGTAATCTCAGCCCTTTGGGAGGCTGAGGCCGACATATCACCTGAGGTCATGAGTTCCAGACCAGCACGACCAACAGAAGAAACCATCTCTAGTAAAAATACAAAATTAGGCAGGAGTGGTGGTGCATGCCTGTAATCCCAGCTATTCGTGAGGCTGAGGCAGGAGAATCGCTTGAACCCAGGAGATGGAAGTTGCGGTGACCTGTATTGTACCATTGCACTACAGCCTGCGAAATAAGTGAAACTCCATCTCAAACAAAAACAAATAAAAAACAACAAAAAAGGAAGAATAAATATTGTTAAAGTGCCATATTATAAGTATTCTACACATTCAATAAACTTCCTGTCCAAATTCCACTGGCATTTTTATCATGGTAATAGAAAATACAATTCTAAAATTTATAAGAAACTACAATAAACTTAAATAGCCAAAGCATTCTTGAGAAAAAAGAACAAAGCAGAGGAACATCTTAATTCACCATTATTTATTTATTTTATTTTATTTTATTTTTTTGTGACGACGTTTTGCTCTTTTTGCTCAGGCTAGAGGGCAATGGCACCATCTTGGCTCACTGCAACCTCTGCCCTCCAGGTTCAAGAGATTCTCCTGCCTCAGCTTCGCAATTAGCTGGGACTAAAGGCATGCCACCACACCTGGATAATTTTTGCATTTTTAGTAGAGACGGGGTTTCACCTTGTTAATCAGAACCACCTCCTTGGCATCCCAAAGTGCTGGGATCACAAGCATAAGCCAGCATGCCCAGCATAATTTTCAATTTCAAACTATATTTTAAGACTATAGTAATATAGTCGGCTGGGTGCAGTGGCTCACGCCTGTAATCCCAGCACTTTGGGAGGCTAAGGCAGGTGGATCACGAGGTCAAGAGATCGAGACCATCCTGGCCAACATGCTGAAACCCTGTCTCTACTAAATAAAAAAAAAAAAAAATTAACCGGGCATGGTGGCACATGCCTGTAATCCCAGCTACTTGGGAGGCTGAGACAAGAGAATCGTTTGAACCCAGGAGGTGGAGGTTGTGGTGAGCCGAGAATGCGCCATTGCACTCTAGCCTGGGCAACAAGAGCAAAACTCCGTCTCAAAAAAAAAGACTATAGTAATACAAACAGAATGAAATATGCAGAAAAATTAACAAAGACGCCTCTAATGCAACAGAAATGACTACTCTCACACATTCCAGACATGATGCAAAAGGAGAACTAATAGTTTAACATAGAGGTTTTCAGAATTATGCAAATATTTGTGTGTCCCCCAAAAACAATTAAAAAGCAGTTAGATCGTACCGTCTCTAATATGCCATGAAGAGGACTTTGGCTCTCACTAGAAATGAAGGAAGGTCACCCAAGGAAAAGTAGAATTTTTAGAGAATTTAAAAGCATAAGACAAAAGATGCCTCCACGTGAGAGAAAAATTTAAGAAAATACTCAGGCTTCCCAAAAACTATTTGCTTTTCAACATACCTTCCCAAATCCAGTTGTAAGAACTGGCTTTTTTTTTTTTTAACCTTTGGACCTCTCATCTGTGATGTCTATTGTATTCACTTTCACCTACCATTGGGTCTGGCCACCATCTCATGTCTCTTCACATTACAGGGCTCTTTTCCTTGCACCAGACAGGTGATCGGGTTTTCCTTACAGACAGTAATACCTGCTTCATTAAAAATAAATAACATGTATCATTCTTCTATTCTCTAATTACTAACCTAGTACTGTGCTCAGTAGGAAGTATGTAATAGAATATTCCAGAAAATTAATCCCCAAATACTAATTAATGAGAGACATCTCTAAATATTTGGAAATATTTTAAATTTGTAAGTCCTTAATTTTACTACCGAGTACTTATGAATTAAAATTGATGGCAGTAAATAGAGTTTAAAATATGGGCAATGATACTTTATGCCACTAAATTTCAGGAATTACCATTAATCTAGAGGAAAGGATACAGGGTAGCTGAGGAATGTAGAAAGTTCAGGTCAAGATGAAACATGTGGAATAAATTCTTTTCTACATAAACAAATTCATCAAGATTTTCTTAAAAAAGAAATCAGAAAGTCATTTATACAAAGCATAAATTACCAAAATAAAAAATTCTACAGAAAAAGAGACATGAAACTTTTAGGATATATTAATAATTGTGTAATAAAGTTATTCTCACCCAAGAAGACCAGGTTTCTGTAGTTCTCTAACATCACATTTCTATACAAATCCTGCTGAGCAGGGTTCAGGCATTGCCACTCCTCCAGAGAGAATTCTATGGCCACATCCCTAAATGTCAGTGTCTCCTGAAAAACACACATGCACACATATATTTAACAGGTGGCCATGGGAAGAATTTCTTATTTGAGTTAAGGTGAAATGACAGCGTAAAGACAACTGGTTCTAACTTACAAAAATAACAAATTATTCAATAATTTTCAACGCAGAAATATTCTCTAATGTATTCTCTTCCCTTGAGGGTAGAGGAAGGCATAAGATACACATCACCAGTGCCTATCTGATAGTCTTCTGGATGATAAACTGTGGATGGGAGACCCTATAAGTATGAGGAAGGAGTTAGAAGCCTCAACCTGTTCCCATATAAATAATGAAGAAGAAAATAACTAGAGATATAACTATAGTGGTTATTCCTAGGTGATCTTAGTTATTCACAGGTTATCTTAGATATTCATAGGTAACCATTAAGATATATATACATATACTCAGCATAATCTTTTACTAAAGCCTCTCAGGTCAAAGTATGAACCTAAGGTGACACTGTGAAAGAAGTGACCCTAACGCAAGATACTCTAAGCCCTCTGTCACGCCCACGTAAGGGCTGCTGGAGGGTGCCTTGGCTGTGCAGCAGCGCCAGCACTGGGAAAGGGCCTGCTGTTTAGCCAGCTGTGGAAGGGGACGTTTATGATGTCTCCTTCTCCAGAGGAGCTAGGAGAAAACATGGCTACCCCAAGCTCTTGTGGTATGTGACATCTGGGGACTTAATTGTCTCTATGTGATGCTGTGCTTCAGTGGTCATATTCCATGTCCACTTTCATCTTCCGCTTCTGCACCTGGTCTTTCTTTTTCTTAGAAGATATTAGTAATACTAACATAAATCTCAAGGTCTTTATTCTTTCTTGACAAGTATGAAAAAAAGTGTTGGCGTATTATGCTTCTTACCTCATCTTGGCTACTTGAAAGTTCTGGGCCGCCATTCCTATGGCACATAATGTACTAGACGCTACCACTGACAACCATGACCTCACCCTACCTACCCTGCCCCCTGCTTTTTATTCAATAAAAGTCAGAGTGTCCAGGTACTCGGGGCCACTGCCGGACTCCGTGCTTTGGCTGGCAGTGGACCCCTGGACCCAAACTCTGTTATCTCTTTCTCAGTGTCTTGTGTCTTTTATTTCCACAGTTTCTCATCTCCACACCTGTAGAGAGGGGCTCACAGAACTCTGTAAGGGCTGGACCCTACAATAAAATATATAATTAAGGATATAAACACAAATGTATACATTTTTTAGTGTTATATTTACATCATGATGAGTTGTGTATTTTTTCAGACAAAGAAAACATGATGAGTTATAAGGTAACTCTCAAATTTAAATGTACAATAAACTAGAGATCCTGTCATGACAATTGTTTTTTTTCCCAGAAGATTTGGAATAAAGTGTTCGTTTTTAAAATTCTAATGAGGTCACTAGTAATGCCAGTGTTCTTGACCCAAGAAGACTATTTTGTCAAACATTCAGTAAGTAAAAGAGACTGTTGTCCCCAATTTTTCTGGCCTGTAAACAAAGACAAGAGCCGGCCAGGCAAGGTGGCTCCTGCATGTAATCCCAGCACTTTGGGAGGCTGAGGTACTCAGATGACGAGGTCAAGAGATCAAGACCATCTTGGCTAACATGATGAACCCCCGTCTCTACTATAAATACAAAAATTAGCTGGATGTGGTGGCACAAGCCTGTAGTCCCAGCTACTTGGGAAGCTGAGGCAGGAGAACTGCATGAATCCAGGAGGCAGAGGTTGCAGTGAGCCAAGATCATGCCACTGTACTCCAGTGAGGAAAAAAGAGTCTTCATTTTCCAAAGACAGATAGGTGCAAAAAATAAAAAGTAAAAAAAAAAACCTAAGAAAAAATGTCAGGTGCCAGATTAAATGTGATGGTTTATGCACATTAGTTGCATAAAGATACTTAACAATGAAGAGAAAAATAATTAACTCTATAGTTAACAACAACAAAAAAAGAGAGCTCTTTAAGCAAGTAAAGTATTAACATCAACTACTCAGAACAATTTCTCATGATGTGCTATTGCACACAGAAAAACAGCATCACTGCTGAGGTACTGCCCCTCAAAAAGTCAATTATAGACTGAATTTAACCATAAAGAAAAATTAGTTTAAGCAAAGGTGAAGATATCTTCCATATTCTATACTTTTTACAATGATTTTAAGTAATCTTTCTTTAGCACCCTAGAGAGCAGGTATCTCTCAATAATTTTTTCAGAACTTCCTGGGTAATAAATGCCATCCCGTTTAAATAAGCATTTTCTTAATCCTGTTCTGCACAGTGCTACCGGAGAACACAGATGAAACCTCAACATTACATCTTCTCCATCTTTACTAATGACCTCAGCTTTCCCCCAACAGGAATCATGAGTATCCACATCTTCCCATGTTCAAGAGCAACAAAAAGAACACTTTTAATATGGAAGATCATAAATTCATGGTAGGAATTCTGCATTGCATATAAGAAGCCATGATGTAGAGAAGTCTCTGGTACATAGGAAAGAAATATTTTTTAGAGACTCCTGACTATCACAACATTTTAAAAAGTACTTGGAACAAACTCATTGGGGAGGAAAAACACAAGGAGAGAAGTAAAGCTTTGTGAGTCCTAAATGCCTGGCACTCCAGGAGGCAGAGTGGACACAGCTCTTGATCTGAGACATGTTTAGCTGAAAAGAAGCTATTTTTCCTCTTTTTCCTCCTTCTCTGGAAAACATTTTCAGAGAAGATTCTCTGGACAAGTAATACCCGTATCATGAGAAAATGCCCTTAAAGACTCAGCACCACCTGCTTACCTGCTAGTCTCACACCCACAGACAGAAGGACCAAGACCAAAAGGTCCACCCATTTCTCTCCTTTAAAAGAGAAGAGATTCAGAAACAATGAGCTTCTCCATGGAAATAAAAATATCCGTTCTTCTTCTCCCATCTGCAGGTGCCCTCCTTGCCACACACACCAGCAATTTCTGCTACTGTAATGGAAATACAAGCCACATTGCCCTGTCCCTACCAAAGCAAACATGACACTTAACTCTCAGGAATGTATCTTGAAGCCCTCACACTTGATTCTGGCCTCACCTTAGAGTCATACGAGGCACTTAATTAAAATAACATGAATGCTTCCATCCAGAACCATAAACAAAACCAGTGAAAAGGGCACAAGTAAGACTTCTGCAAATTGACCATGACATCTGAATGAGAAGAGTGGGCTGATAAGCACTGCCTCTCAAGCTTTAATGAGCTTAAAAATTACGTGGTAATGTTGGTCCCACTGTTTAATGTGAATCTGCAGGTTTGAAAAAAGTCCATGAATGTGTGTTTCAAACAAGTCCCCTGCCAGTGCTGATCTTGCTCCCCTGGATTCATTATTAGTAATAGTTAGAGAAAGCAGGCACAGCAGAGATTCCCTTATACTCAGCACTCTTGTCACAACATAAATACTTCTGATACAAATGAAGACAACCAATCTCCATCCTAAAGTTTCATAGTCTTTGCTGGCTCTTTAAAGTTTTCAGAGGAAACAGAAAGCAGCAATTTCTGAATAAGTCTGCATCTGAAAAACAACATATACACACGTAATAATACAATGTTTATTAAGCAGGTACTATCTACTCAAGAGTATGTTACAAAGCACTGTGCTGGGAATAACACATTATGTGATTTCATCCTCATAACACCCTGGAAGTTGATATCAACATTCAATAATTCCCAGATTTAGATAAAATGTCTGCCATTTCTATTTCTTCCTGTTTCTCTGTCATTGATTTTTTTTAAATGTATAGAATAAAAGTTAAATACTGACAGATGAGAGGAATATACAAAAGTTTATGTCATTTAGAGAAATTTTTATGTGTTTATATTTAATTTTTGTTACTTGTGGAGCAACTACTGGATCTGCAGGAATAGAACACAAGTTACTAAATGGAATGTTTCTCTAAGCAATGGTTTTAACACAAAATTTAAAAATTAAAATCCTAAAACATATATTTATTTTTCTCATTTACTTGCGTTTGCGTTTCTGAAAATGTGAGCACCAGCTCTAGAAAAGCAGCAGAATTCACCAGACAAAACTCTTATTTATTAATTTATTTGACAAATTCTTGCTCTGTCACCCAGGCTGGAGTGCGATGGCATGATTATCCATTTGTTGAATGACCGTATGAAATGGATGCAATTAGCTTATCCGTTTGAGTCACCAGACCTCCTCTTTGTCTTTCACCCAAGTACCAGGAAACTGGAGAAACTCTCATGTCAGTACCAACTAAAGTTATCTCTTGTATGAGGGAAGAAAAAAAAAAAACAGGATTATTTCCTTCTCTTATACTGAGACAAAAGCAGAGTTAATCACTCTCTTTAGTCCGACACAGTTATAACCTGGACTTCCTCAAATGTCTCAAAGATGGCTAGGTGATTATAAGAGGGTTCTTAGTGAGCTGGGGCTGATGGCCCAATGATAAACCAGGCTGGAGAGACTCAGGCTGACTGTAACTAGAAAACGTAACCACCTTGGTGGAGCTCTAGGACCTGGATCACCAATCCTGATTCATTCACTTTTAGGTAAGAGGATCTAGGACACTCTACTCCAACATTGTATTTTACAGGTAGGTATAGTTGTGGTCATAGTTCTGGATGCTTTGTGGCCTTGATCTCTCACTATTAAGATGCTTATTTAAAAATTAAAGATTATGTCATCAGACTGTATTTACACCTGGAACCTTTCACATTACTGTAGCAGGTCACTGAACAAGATCTGAAAATCTCAAAAAGCCACACTCTCAAAGGGGGATTTTAGATGTCTATGTTGATATCTCACAATGGAGAAAATGCCTCCTTGTTAAGTTTTCTGTATATTCTCAATCCAAAGTCTAGTCCTGTCTTGTGAAACCCACGCAGAGGCAAGACCTTATGTGCAGATTCTAGGTGGGATCAACCTGGCTTGCCTCCTTGGGTGTTACAGCAGAGCACAATCAAAGGAGAAATCTCCTCTTAGAGGCTGCTCTAATACGCTCTAAGTAATATGTCTACCTAAAAGGAAAAGGCTCAGGCCACATGAATATAAGTAGAGAGTTCACTTGGGCTAAACATGAGGATTGTAACCCTGAAGCAAAGATACATCCTCCAAAGACTGAACAACAACAGCAACAAAAGAGAATCCCTGAATAGGCCAATAACAAGCTCCAAAACTCAATTAGTAATAAATAGCCTAACAACAACAAAAAAACACAGGACCAGACAAATTTATAGCTGAATTCTACCTGATGTACAAAGAGCTGGTACCACTTCTACCAAAATTATTTCAAAATACTGAGTAAAAGGGACTATTTTTTAACTCATTACATAAGAATAGCATCATTCTGATACCAAAACCTGGCAGAGATAACACACAACATAAAAAGCTTCAGGCCAATATCCAAGATAAACACTGAAGACAATATTCTCAAAAAAAAATACTGATAAATCAAATACAGGAGAACCCCAAAAAGCTAACCCAGTGTGATCAAGTAGGTTATATCTCTGGGATGCAAGGTTGTTTCAACATACAACAATTAATAAATGTTATTCAGCACATAAACAGGACAAAAGAAAAACCACAAGACTATCTCATTAGATGCTACAAAAGCTTTCAATAAGATTTAACATCTTTCATGTTTAAAACCCTCAAAAAGCTAGGCACTGAAGGTACATACTTCAGAACAGTGAGTCACCTATGACAAACTTACAACCAACATATTGAATGGACACAAGCTAGAAGCATTCCTCCTTGAAAACTGGCACAAGGATGCTTGCTCTTAAAACTCCTATTCAACATAGAATTGGAAGTCTTGGCCAGAGCAACCAGGGAAACGATGAAAACAAAAGGCATCCAAAAAGGAAGAGAGGAAGTCGATCTATTCCTATGTGTAAATGAGAAGATCCTATATCTTCAAAATATTACAGTCTCAGCAGAATTTATTTTAAAGGGGGGAGAAGGATTTTATTTTAATTTTTTTAGAGACAGGGTTTCACCATTTTGAGCAAGTTGGTCTCGAACTTCTGATATCGTGATTTGCCCACCTTGGCCTCCCAAAGTGCTGTAATTACAGACAAGAGCCACTGTGCACAGCCAGAAAACCTCTTTAAACTGATAAACAACTTCAGCAAAGTTTGAGGACACTAAATCAGTAGCATCCCTGTACATCAACAACATCCAAGTCAAAAGCCAAATCAAAACTGTAATTCCTTTCACAATTACCACAAAAAGAATGTAGAATATCTAGGAATACAGCTAACCAGGGAGGTGAAAGATCTCTATAACAAGAATGACAAAACACTACTTAAAGAAGTCAGAGATGACACACACAAATGAAAAACACAATGTGGGCCGGGCACGGTGGCTCACGCCTGCAATCCCAGCACTTTGGGAGGCCGAGGCAGGTGGATCACGAGGTCAAGAGATCCAGACCATCCTGGTCAACATGGTGAAACCCCGTCTCTACTAAAAATACAAAATATTAGCTGGGCATGGTGGCGCGTGCCTGTAATCCCAGCTACTCAGGAGGCTGAGGCAGGAGAATTGCCTGAACCCAGGAGGCGGAGGTTGCAGTGAGCCCAGATCGTGCCATTGCACTCCAGCCTGGGTAACAAGAGCGAAACTCCGTCTCAAGAAAAAAAAAAAATACAATGTATGCTGATGAATAGAAAAGATCAATATTATTAAAATGACCAAACTGCCCAAAGACCTTTACCAATTTAATGCTATTCCCATCAAACTACCAAAAACATTGTTAACAAAACTAAAAAGTAACTATTTTAAAATTTATATGAAGCCAAAATGAGCCTCAATAGCTAAGGAAATTTTAACCAAAAAGAACAAAGCTGCAGGCATTACATTACCCCACTTCAAACCACACTCACTAGAGGGCTACGGTAACCAAAGCAGCATGGTACTGGAACAAACATACTCACAGACAAATGCAACAAAACAGAAAGCCCAGAAATAATGCCCCACACCTCCAACAATCTGATCTTTGACAAAGCTGACAAGAAGAATGTGGGCAGAATTCCTTATTTAATAAATGTGCTGAAATAACTAGCTAGCACTATGTAGAAGATTGAAACTGGTCACCTTCTTCTCTCTCTCTCTCTCTCTCTGTATACATATATATATGAAGATAAATTAAAGACTTAAATGCAAAACTTAAAATTATTTTTAAAACCCTGGAAGATAAATAACCAAGAAAATGCCATTGTAGGCATAGAAATGAGCAAAGACTTTATGAGGAAGATACAAAAGGAATTGCAATAAAAGCAAAACTTGACAAATGGGACCTAATTAAACTAAGAAGCTTCTTCACAGCACAGGAAACTATCAATGGAGTAATCACACAACATACCTAATAAATAAAAATATTGGCAAACTATGTTCCTAACAAAGGTTTAACATCCAGAATTCATCAAGAAGCAAGTTTATAAACAAATAACCAAGAAAAAAAAACTTCATTAAAAAGTAGGCAAAAAACATGAAAAGTTCTTTCTATTTATTTATTTATTTATTGAGACGGAGTTTCGCTCTTGTTACCCAGGCTGGAGTGCAATGGCGCGATCTCGGCTCACCACAACCTCCGCCTCCTGGGTTCAGGCAATTCTCCTGCCTCAGCCTCCTGAGTAGCTGGGATTACAGGCACACACCACCGTGCCCAGCTAATTTTTTGTATTTTTACTAGAGACGGGGTTTCACCATGTTGACCAGGATGGTCTCGATCTCTTGACTTCGTGATCCACCCGCCTCGGCCTCCCAAAGTGCTGGGATTACAGGCGTGAGCCACCGCGCCCGGCCGAAAAGTTCTTTTTAAAAAGAAGACAAACGTGGCTAACGAGCATGTGCAAAAAATGTTCACCACTAATCACTGGAGAAATCAAAAGAAAAAATGAGATACCATCTCACAGCAGTCAGAATGGCTGCTGTTAGAAAGTCACTAAAAGGCCTTTGGGAGGTTAAGGTGGGTAATTCATTTGATATTATCAGTTTGAGACCAACCCAGCCAACATGGAGAAACCCCATCTTCACTAAAAATACAAAAATTAGGATTGGTGGTGCACATCTGTAGTTCCAGCTAAGATGTGCTGGTAACTAAGACAATAATCTATTGAACATAAGAGGTGAAGGTTACAATGAATTGAGATCACACCACTGCACTCCAGCCTGGGTGACAGAGTGAGACTGTCTCAAAAACAAAAAAGTCAATAACAGATGCTGGCAAGGTTGCAGAGAAAATGGAATGTTTATACACTGCTGATAGAAGGGTAAACTAGTTCAACCACTGTGAATAGCAGTGTGGCGATTTCTCACAGAGCTGAAAACAGAATTACTATTTGACCCAGCAACCTCCAAATTGGGTATATACCCAAAGAAATATAAATTACTCTACCATAAAGGCACATGCACATGCATGTTTATTACAGCACTGTTTGCAGTAACAAAGACAGGGGCTGGGCATGGTGGCTTATGCCTGTAATCCCAGCACTTTGGGAAGCTGAGGCGGGTGGATCACCTGAGTTCAGGAGATTGAGATCAGCTTGGCCAACATGGAGAAGCCCTGTCTCAACGAAAAATACAAAAATTAGCCAGGTCTGGTAGCACACACCTGTAGACCCAACTACTTTGGAGGCTGAGGCGGGAGAACTGCTTGAACCTGGGAGGTGAAGGTTTCAATGACCCAAGACCATGCCGTTGTACTCCAGCCTGGGTGACAAGAGTGAGACTCCAATTCAAAAAAAAAAGTGTGTGGGGGGGGACTCCCACAATGTTCCTCAAGTTCAATAATTAGATCAAGCTGCTCACAGAACTGAGCAAAACAATGTAGTTATGCTTACTAGCTTATTATAAAAAACACTACCCAGGAAGAGTCAAATGGAAGAAATGCATATGACAAAGAAAAGAGGTGGGGAACGATGAAGCACATACATAATCTGGGTAAATAGCTGTGATTAAGAAAATTCGTCATTCTTTGTGTTCTCTAGAACAGTTTATGGAAAGAAGCACCTTTCCCATTATGACTTACATGGTGCTCCCTTTTCTTATTTATCGCATAGCCAGACACAGACTGTCAGAAGCATATTGAACCAGAGCAACTCCATTTTGAATAGGGGCTGAGTAGAACAAGGCTGAAACGCACTGGACTGCATTCCCAGATGGTTAGGCATTTTAACTCATGAGATAGGAGGTCAGCACAAGATACAGGATGTAAAAACCTGGCTGATAACACAGGTGCAGTATAGAAGCAGGATAAAACCCACCAAAATTAACATGGTAATGGGAGTGTTATCTCTGGTCATCCTCTCTGTTACACTTCCACCAGTGCTATGAGAGTTTACAAATGCCATAGCAACATCAGCAAGTTACCCTTAATAATTTTGTTTTTGTTTTTCTGGGACGGAGTTTCGCTGTTGTTACCCAGACTGGAGTGCAACGGCATGATCTCGGCTCACCACAACCTCTGCCTCTTGGGTTCAAGCAATTCTTCTGCCTCAGACTCCCGAGTAGCTGGGGCTACAGGCGCGCACCACCATGCCCAGCTAATTTTTGTATTTTTAGTAGAGACGGGGTTTCACCTTGTTGACCAGGATGCTCTCGATCTCTTGACCTCGTGATCCACCCTCCTCGGCCTCCCAAAGTGCAGGGATTAGAGGCATGAGACACTGCACCCGGCCTCCTATAACAGTTTAAAAAGGAGAAGCATAAATATTCCACGCTTGTTTAGCATATAATCAAGAAATAACCATAAAAATGTGCAAGCAGCACATTTCTTTACTTTATAAAAAACTTGCTTTTGGTAGTGCACGGTGGCTCAAGCCTGTAATCCCAGCACTTTGGGAAGCCGAGGCGGGTGGCTCATGAGGTCAGTACATTGAGACCATCCTGGTCAACATGGTGAAACCCCGTCTCTACTAAAAATACAAAAATAAATTAGCTGGGCATCGTGGCGTCTGCCTGTAATCCCAGCTACTCAGGAGGCTGAGGCAGGAGAATTGCCGGAACCCAGAAGTCGGAGGTTGCGGTGAGCCGAGATTGCGCCATTGCACTCCAGCCTGGGTTACAAGAGCAAAACTCCGTTTCAAAAAAAAAAAAACTTGCTTTCACTTTACTCTGTGGATTTGCCCTGAATTCTTTCTTGAGCAAGATCCAAGAATCCTCTTCGGTTCTGGATCAGAACTTCTTTCCAGTAACATCTTTCCAGCAACCACTAAGGGAGTATACTGAAAGACCTTTGACCCAAAGGAAAATCATCTGTGTGCTCGAATTGGCTGACTTTGGGTGACGGGGGTGCATATACCTGAGTAAAGGATAAGACTGGATCAGAGGCATAACTTAGGGGAATTAGAGTCTCTCCTAAGAGTGGGTTAAAGGCTCCTTTTAATAAAAAGCAAGGATGCTTGACTGAACTTGAATTCGAGGCCCAACTTAAGAAGGTTATATTCCTTCCTAAGATTTAGAAAGTTAGATTTCTCTCGGTAAAATCCATCTCAGCTAAGAACAGGTTTGACACTGAGATATTCATTGCTCTTCTCTTTGGATCAGTCTTCCTTGTGCTCTTTGCTGATGGCTATGGGTGACAGAACTAGGCATCTATAGGACCATGGGACATGGGGATCTTTTCTTCTCCAAAAGGGAAAACTTCAGTGCTAATGGGACTGCTGGAAAAATCTCTGCTACCAAGGAGCGAACATCTGAACTTTTTATTATTGCTGTAATGGGAAGGTCTTTGTCTGGCTCCCTGAGCTCTTTGCCTTCCCCACCCTGCCATAAACAATGCCTTTTCTCTTTTCTATTACTCAGAGTAATAACCATCTTGCCCAGAGACCACGAGTTGAAACTCCTGATTGCAGCTGAATTGACAATGACAGGGCCCAACTAGGGACAAGTTTAAGTCTTACCAGTTTGATATCGGTTGCTAAGCAGAGTGGCTAATGTCTATGTTTGTCACGCATGTTTTTCTCTGGCCAGAAGAGGAAAAAGATCATTTTCCTTTGTGTTGTGGCTTGGCCCCCAGGGCTGTGGTGCACCCAGTCATGTCACTAGGGCCACTCAGGGAAAGGAAACCCAGAAGCCTGGCATGCTGGCAAAAACAGTAAAAATTTCTTACCAGACTTCTGCCCTCTATGCAAAGTGATTAAATGAATTGCTAAAAAAAATTACTGTTTATCTCCTGTGTAAAGTTCTAATTAATTAGAAAATGCATTTGTGAGGCTAGTCTTAAGCTATCACACATCTGTTGTACTTTGTGCTATAAATCTGTCTTTCTGTATTGTTCTGTCATTAAGAGGGGTACCTTAGGATAGAATGCAGGACTAAGACCCCTTAAGGCTGCTGTTCAGGTTGGTCCAGCAAAGTGTTCAGTCATGTCTTTGGATGCTTGACCTTGTAACCACATGACAGTCCTTTCTCTTGGTCTCCACCATCAATGATGGCCCAGGTTCAGGGTTCAATTCCCAGCTTAGGGAATGATTACTTTCTTGTTTGGTATTTGGGTGATTTTTACTATTTGTTGATTCTCTTACCCTCCAGGAACCATCTTGCATTTTCCTTTTCCAGAACACCTGTGAAGTTACTTTTAATAAAACTAAAAAGCCAGAGATATTGGCTATTTGACCTGAGTAAACTCTGGTAATAAGAAATTTAAAAGGACTTTTTAAAAGAGCACTATGGGTTAAAAGTCAGCTTAATTAAAAGCAGATATTCAAGCTCTAACAGCCTGGAACTCCTTGGGAAAAACAGAAGGGGCATGACAGACTCTGTTTTGGGAAACACCCCCTTTTTCTCATGAAACCCCAGGAATTGAAAGTGGATAGATCCTTCTCAAAAGCTAAGTTTCTGTTCTGTTCTGTTTTACATTGCATTATCTGGTATTTCTGACTTGTGGAGTATCAAAAATTACTTCATATTATAAAAGAATTTTGGTATATATTAACTAGGTGAGAAATATACTTTTCAAATGGCTAATGCGAGTTATAAGGAAATACTCAGCTCTTCACATTTGGATCAGAGAAACATACTCTTGACCCTCACTGTTAAATACAAATGTCTTCAAAATATAAACAAGTGTTCTAAATTATATACGTCAGATGTTAGATTTACCAAATACTTTCTGATCATAAATTGGTTTTTTGACTTATAAGAATTCTTCAATTTACCTATCTTGAAGCCATTAAATTATAAGACTTCCCTTGGGATGAACTGATTCTCTCCTTTTTAGATCCAAGATCTGATGTAAAAATGGGACCCTTAATTTAGGGAAATGTTTTGTTTTCCAGCTCTGTTTACTGTTTAAGCCATAGAAACTACAAGCTTTCCTGACCCTGGGCTCCATCCTGAAGCCAGTAATCCAATTCAGAAACTGACAGGCCGGGTGCAGTGGCTGACACTTATAATCCCAGCACTTTGGGAGGCCAAGACAGGTGGGTCACCTGAGGTTGGGAATTCGAGACCAGCCTGACCAACATGGAGAAACCCTGTCTCAACTAAAAATACAAAATTAGTTGGGCATGGTGGCACATACCTGTAGTCCCAGCTACTTGGGAGGCTGAGACAGGAGAATCATTTGAACCCAGGAGGCCGAGGTAGCAGTGAGCTGCAATGGAGCCACTGCCCTTCAGCCTGGGCAACAAGAGAGAAACTTCGTTTCAGAAAAGAAACTGACAAAGAAAAGCCTTACAACTACTGAATCTTCTGTCTGTGTATTTACATATGTTGTGTGTATGATATGAAAGAACTCTGATTAATTGGTTTCAAAATAGTAAGAGCTTAAATCAAATATTTTGGCAGAAAACTAAAAAGTCTAATGCCTTTTAGTTCACGTGACAAATAATCAATTGAAAATAAAAACACTTTTAATGATCATAGGGAAAATAAAAATGTATTTATAATATAAAAATTTGTTCTAAATTATGTAGGTCAGATATTAGATTTACCAAATACTTTCTGGTCATAAATTGATTTTTTGACTTTTAAAAATTGTTCAATTTATGTATCTTGAAGCCATTAAATTATAAGGCTTTGGGACATATGAAATTAGCCATGCCCCCTAAATATACAAAGGTTATAAAGAAAAGAGATTTTGGGCAGACACAGTGGCTCATGCCAGTAATCTCAGCACTTTGAGAGGTCAAGGCAGGCAAATCACCTGAGGTCCGGAGTTCCAGCCTGGCCAACATGGTGAAACCCTGTCTCTAAAAAAATACAAAATTTAGCCAGGCGTGGTGACAGTTGCCTGTAATCACAGCTACTCAGTAGTCTGAGGCAGGAGAACTGGTTGAACCTGGGAGGCAGATGTTGCAGTGAGCTGAGATCACATCTGAATCTTAAAAAAAAAGAAAGAAAAGAGATTTTATATATGAAAAGATCATAGATAGTAAATCATTATCCTAAAATTAAAGGACTTGCTATTTAAAAAGAGGGATGTTGCCCGGCACGGTAGCTCAAGCCTGTAATCCCAGCACTTTGGGAGGCCAAGGCGGGTGGATCACAAGGTCAAGAGATCCAGACCATCCTGGTCAACATGGTGAAACACCGTCTCTACTAAAAATACAAAAAATTAGCTGGGCATGATGGCGCGTGCCTGTAGTCCCAGTTACTCTGGAGGCTGAGGCAGGAGAATTGCCTGAACCCAGAAGGCAGAGGTTGTGGAGAGCCGAGATCACACCATTGCACTCCAGCCTGGGTAACAAGAGCGAAACTCTGTCTCAAAAAATAAAAAAATAAAAAAAATAAAAAAAATAAAAAAAAAAAGGAGGGATGTTTAGGATGAACAAAAAAGTCTAAACATATGGTAGATGATCTGTGTAATAATTCACTAAAGGAAATTTATGCAAAAAATGTTGTACAATTTAAAGGTCATTAGGCCTCTTAAAGATGTCACAAAATGCCACTATGACTCTTTACTGTACAACTTGCCTACTTTACAGATGCGTAAAGCCTGCGACACATCAAGTTAATACACTGCAGTCAGTCCTTATATGCACTTCTGTCCTAGACTCCACATCTAGTTCACAATTAAAATCCCTTCCTTACCAAAGTTTTCACCAAAAGTGAAAGTTGCTAAGAGTTAACATTGTAACACATAATTTTAACTATGAAAATACAGTTTTATGCTAGGTATGCAGAGAAAGTGAAATGTATTTTTTATAAAAGATTATAAGAAAACATAGAAAGGTGGATTTTTTCACCTAGATTAAAAAATTAAAGGATTTTTTTAAATTAGAAAGCATAAAACTGGAGATTAAAACAAACTGTGAAAGATTTGTTAAAATTTAATTGCAAAAGAGATTTTGTGTGTGAACATACTGACTAAAGTTAAATGGGTATCATTCAGTTTTTCTATAAATAGAACATTGAGATAATAATGATGGCTTCTCTTAACTCACTGATTTACTCTTTAACAATAAAGACTTTGTGAAGAGTTATAAAAGGTTTATGAGAATGTTACCTTATGGTCAAACATTAAAATTGGATAGATTTGTCTAGAAAGATTCATTAAGAACTGGGTTTGACATCAATAATACATAAATACCATAGTAAAATTTGGCTCATTTAGTATAAAAATCACACAGAAAACTGTTAAATGTGAAATAATGTTTCACTATTATTGAACTATGTTGTATAAATGTTATTGGCATGTGTTCCAAAACTCTGGGAAACTCCTGTAATTCTAATATGACTAAGTGTACAACATTAATAATCACAATTCTTACATAAAGTTATTGTATGCCACAGAGCTAACCAAACTTCATTCTCAATCATTTTTTTTTACTGTGACTACACTAAGACTTTACTATCCAATCGTCTTCTGTTGATCCTCTTCAAAAGATGATTTATTCTTAACTTAGGACTTTGACAGATTTTGTTGTTTGTTTTTTGTTATTTTGAGAAGGAGTCTCATTCTTTCACCCAGGCTGGAGTGAAGTGGCATAATCTCGGCTCACTGCAACCTCTGCCACCCAGGTTCAAGCGATTATCCTGCCTCAGCCACTTAAAAAGCTGGGATTACAGGCACCCGCCACCACACCCAGCTAATTTTTGTGTTTTTACTAGAGATGAAATTTTGCCATTTTGGCCAGGCTGGTCTCAAACTCCTGACCTCAAGTAATCCACCTAGCTCACCCTCCCAAAGTGCTAGGATTAGAGGCATGAGCTACTTCATCCCTTCGACAGATGTTCTTAAATGCAAGCTTATAATAACTTTAGGAATTGTGACATTAGAAGAGAGAATAAATTTTAGTATTTATGGGAAGTGAAATGTTCATGACTATCAAACAGAATAGGAATTAACTGAAGGGACTGAACTAATAGAAGACTAAGTAATATTTTTGACTTTGCATAAAATGTCACTGATCCTTTGGTTTGTTTATCACACTCAAGAAACTCTGGGCCAGGTGTGGTGGCTCACGCCTGTAATTCCAGCACTTTGGGAGGCTGAGGCAGATGGGTCACCTGAGGTCGAAAGTTCGAAACCAACCTGACCAACATGGAGAAACCCTGTCTCTAATAAAAGTACAAAATTAGCTAGGCGTGGTGGCACATGCCTGTATTCTCAGCTACTGGGGAGGCTGAGAAAGGAGAATTGCATGAACCCAGGAGGCAAAGGTTGCGGTGAGCTGAGATCGCATCATTGCACTCTAGGCAACAAGAACAAAACTCCACCTCAAAAAAAAAAAAAAAAAAAAAGAGAAAACTGAATAGTTAGGCAAAAAATATCATCACCCCTATTCAGCATGAAATAGTTACAGAAAACGAATCTTCACTCCTCTACAATCCTTAGGAATAATGGTGCCCTTGTAGAAAAAAAAAAGAGGCGGGAGATGTCAGAAGTAGACGGAACCAGAGAAAATCAATTTTGAATAGGGGCTGGGTAAAACAGGGCTGAGATTACTGGGCTGCATTCCTGGAGAGTTAGGCATTCTAGGTAACAGGATAGGATAAAATGTCAGCACGAGATACAAGTCGTAAAGACCTTGCAGATAAAAGTTTGCAGTAAGGAAGTCAAATAACATCCACCAAATCCCAGCTGTAAGGAGAGTGACCTCTGGTCGCCCTCACTGCTACACTGCTCCCAGTGTCATAACAGTTTACAAATGCAATGGAAACATCAGGAACTTACCCTATGTGGTCTAAAATTGAGAGGCATAAATAATCCACCCCTTGTTTAACATATAATCAAGAAATAAAGAGAAAAATGTGCAACCAGCATCCCTCGGGGCTGTTCTGTCTATGGAGTAAGCCATTCTTTTATTTCGTTCTTTTTTTTTTGAGACGAAGTTTCGCTCTTATTACCCAGTCTGGAGTGAAATGGCGCCATCTCGGCTCACCGCAACCTCGGCCTCCAGGGTTCAGGCAATTCTCCTGTCTCAGCCTCCTGAGTAGCTGGGATTACAGGCACGTGCCACCATGCCCAGCTCATTTTTTAATATTTTTAGTAGAGACGGGGTTTCACCATGTTGACCAGGATGGTCTCGATCTCTTGACCTCGTGATCCACCCGCCTCGGCCTCCCAAAGTGCTGGGATTACAGGCTTGAGCCACCGTGCCCGGCTTCTTTCCTTTCTTAATTAATATTTTTTTTTACTGTACTGTATGGACTCACCCTGAATTTTTTCTTGAGCGAAATCCAAGAATCCTCTTGTGGGGCTTGAATTGGAAGCTCTTTTCAATAAGAACTCTGCACATTTTCTTCTTTTTCCCATTAAAAGAATCAGCTGAATTTGTCTCCAGCGGTCTAAATAAAATTTTTCACAGGCTCCAGAACTTTGAACTATTCTCAGTCTGAGTCAACATACAACCTCATTTTATATCTCTTCTAAGAGCATGATGACTTCACAATAAAATATTCTCTGATCTAAAAATCTGATTTTTCACCCTTCATTTGCCATTCCACTCCCACCTTCTCTCTAATCTTGTTTGCTGCTCCCTAGAAAAGAAAGCCCCTGTCTGCCTAAACTTTGCCATCCTTTCTTTTGTGTAAGACCCTCTCAGTCCCCTTTCATCTTAACCTTAACTGCATTTAGCAGTAAGTCTTCTTCCATAACTGGGATGCGCAGGCTGAGACATCTGCAGGAAAGGCATGCCAGAAGAAAAATTAACGTTGCTTTTAAAAACTTTTTGCAAGCTCAATATTAGCCTTAGCTCTTAGTCACTGGGCTCAAGATTTAATTTCCATGTTAGTTACTCACTTGGTTTTTGAAACTACACGTTTGAAAAATTCAGCAAAATTACTCACAGTGTTCATGTAAGGGAAGGATATTTTAAGCTACTTATATTTTATACATAAACAAAAAAAGCAGAAGTGTCTATTCCTATCAGATAATATATTTATTACTTTTATTAAAAATCATGTAGTAAACAATGAGTCATATGGGAACACTTCTAGGTGGTACCAAATTTCATCTCATAAAACTCAGAAATCAAGATAATAAGACGTGAACAGAGATATTCACTCTCAGAAATTTACCCTCCTAAATGAATCTATGTAACTCACCAATTATCTACCACATTTCTCATGAAAATGTATTAATTGGCCGGGTGAGGTGGCTCATGCCTGTAATCCTCGCACTTTGGGAGGCCCAGGCAGGCATATAATCCCAGGTCAGGAGACCAAGAGCAGTTTAGCCAACACGGTGAAACCCCATCTTTACTTAAAAAATACAAAAATTCGCTGGGTGTGGTGGTATGTGCCTGTAATCCCAGCTACTCACGAGACTGAGGCAGTAGAATCACTTAAACCTGGGAGGAGTAGGTTGCAGTGAGCCTAGATCTTGCCACTGTACTCCAGTATGGGCAACAAGAGTGAAACTCTGTCTCAAAAAAAAAAAAATACGGCCGGGCACGCTGGCTCACACCTATAAACCCAGCACTTTGGGAGGCTAAGGCGGGTGGCTCACGATGTCAAGAGATCGAGACCATCCTGGTCAAAAAGGTGAAACCCAGTCTCTACTAAAAATACATAAATTAGCTGGGCATGGTGGCGCGTGCCTGTAGTCCCAACTACTCGGAAAGGTGAAGCAGGAGAATTCCTTGAACTCAGGAGGCGGAGGTTGCGGCGAGCCGGGATCCGGACATGGCACTCCAGCCTCGGTAACAACAGCGAAACTCCGCCTCAAAAAAAAAAATAATACCAATAAAATAAAATTATACCTTTCAAGCCCTACTAATGTAATACAATTTACATCTGAAAAATTGAGATCAAAATAAGTAAACAAATATTTTTCAACGTGACAAACCAGGCAGTGCTGATTAAAAACAGATGTGTCCGACTTATGTTTCAAGTCACGCCATTCAATCACTTGAGAACCACCCATTCAGGAGACGCTGCATCATGCCCCAGTGACTGCCCAAGGGGCATTTGACTTTGCAGGTTCTGACACCATCTCTCTGGAGTCACTTTTTGTTTGGTCTTTTGGGACACTATTTTGTCTGTGACAAATTTTTGGCTTTTTAACACTTTCTTTCACTATATTTCTTTCATTATCTTTCTCCACCCTTAGAGAATACAGGGGGCAGAGATTATTTCTGTGTTTTCCCCTCAGTACCAGCATCTGACTGGCTGACCAGCAATGTGTGCCAAGAAATAAAAGCTGGGTTTGGTGTAGACAATTTTAATGCCTCAGGGGTTACATTTTCAAAAAAAAGAGTACACCAGAAGATTCCTCGGAGCCCCAGGGCATCCACTTGCTTCTTTGAGAGGAAACATTTTATACCTCAGGTCGTCCTATGGGAGAAAATAACCCAGAAGCTGATATTCCCTAGGCACTTTAGCTGACATAACCATGGTGGATATCTTGGTTTATCCCAGACGGTACTGAAACCCAGGACCAGAAAAAAACTAAAGGGTGGCTGAGGACACATCACCTCATAGAGATTCCAAAGGATAACCTGGACCCCAAACATCCTAACGAGATCTCTGTGCCTAGAGAGGATGTAAGGAGAAGAGGCACAAAGAGCTTTTACAATACAGCGTCAAGGGATTATTCTTTGCTTTCTTCTCATGGGTAATATTTACAGATAACAAATCTTTTTAAAACTCTCATTTAATGCTTTGCAAGAAGTAATTAAATAAGATATAGAAAAGTGCACTAGATAAATAGCTGATACTGTAAATTAGGGAGGACAAGCTGGCATTTGGGAATGCCAGATGAAACTGGAAATTCAGTATCTTATTGCGAGCCAGAGTGAGGCTGCAGAAATGAGGGACAGAGGTTAGACTTAAGACACTGCTTAGGACACAGGTGAAAAATGCAGCAGAAAATCAGTTTCCCATGGAGTGTGAAAATAATTAAATGGCAATTAGACTGAGGTGTGTCTTGCCCCTGGATTCGTACTTTAAAAAAAATCTAACTGAGGTGCATTTTTCAGTAAATAACTACACTGAGAGAAAATTCAGCCTTAACTATACACTGCCAATTAACCTCTGATTACATAACCAAGAAATGCTCAGCTTTATTGTACCAATTAAGAAACTCCATAACTGTACCTAACCAGTTAGTGAATTTGGTTTCCTTCATCATGCAGTTTATTTATTTGTATTTTTATTTCTGATGAATTCACAGAAACAGGCTTCAGAAGATGGGCATCGTGCAGTTTATAACGCTCTTTCCTTCAAGCCCCGTCCATGAACCACAAATGACAAACCACAGCAGGTGCTTGACAACTGTTGAATCACTATTTAATTAAATTATTTAATGTTTTTAGGGTGACTCCCAAACATTTTTAGCAGAAGAAAAGAGCTGGGAACCCCACGGACTAAAGCTCTTCACACTCATGGAACCCGCACCCGGAGTCAGGATTCTCCCCCTGACGACCCTCCTGTGGTCCCTGCACAATCGGAGAGACGCGACGCTACGGGTGAAGAGCCGCCCAGGGATGGCTCCAGACCAGAGCACAGTCACTGGGCAGGGAAGAGGCAGTACACCGGGCCCGGCTGTAAGCGCAGCCGCCATCTTATGGCTGAAGGGGACTGAGGCCGAGCTGGGCAAGAACTCCGGGTGCAGACTGTGGAGCTGACTGCGGGGAGCCCTGAGTCCCCCCACAGCCACTTCCCACCGGTTCCAACCAGCCCCTTCCCCTCTCTCGGGGGTTCGACCCTGCACTCTCACCATTTCTAGGGCTCCAGGGGGTCCCGGCGTCATAGCTGTGGAACTCCCAATACCTTCAGGTCGCAGAGCCACAGAGGCTGGGACTCTAGGAGCAGAAGACACAGAAAAGTGAAGATGAGACCCGGAGCTCCTGCAGCGGGAAACAAAGGCCGCGCCACATTCCGGAAACCTTCCGGTCCGCTCCAGCTGCGTGCGCGATTGGACGGTTCCCAGCCCAGCGTCGCTGATTGAATAACGGGTAAAACCCCGCCCTCTCAGGCCCTGAGTGACAGAAGATGAGATCAGACGCTGGACTGAGTGAAGAAAAAGTGACAGACAGCCTAGGCTGCAGCCTTTTCGGGCAGGGCTTCCTGTCTGAGCTTAGCCTGGCCCACCACAGAGTATTAAATGCCTTTAAACTGGTGTGTCAAGTCGTATGTATCTTTAAATAATATTTTACGTGGCTCTTTACAAATAGAAAGAATATAATAACAATTATTTTTAAATTTCACATTTTATGACCTTCCCGGTTTCTGGTCTTTGAGCAGGAAGGCCGAGATTTTAGAAAGGAGGCAATCCTCTGAAATAAAATGTGAGCCGCACGTGAATTTTAAACTTTGTAGTATCCAAAATTTAAAAAGAAAGAACAGGCCGGGCGCGGTGTCTAACGCCTGTAATCTCAGCACTTTGGGAGGCTGAGGTGGGCGGATTAGTAGGTCAAGGATCAAGACAATCCTGGCCAACACGTGAAAACCCGTTTCTATTTTCTTTTTTTTTAAATATATTTTTTAAAAAAGGAAGAGAAAGAAAGAACAGGTTGAATTGATTGTTACACTTTACTTAACCCAATATGTCCATCATATCATTTTAATGTGTGAGTAATATGTACTTGTTAATAAAGTATATAAATATTTGGAAGTAAATATTTGAAACTAACTCTGCATTTTACCTTTCTAGCACATCGCAGTTCGAAACAGCCTGGTTCATTTTTGTATTTTTAGTAGACAAAGTGCTAGAATTACAGGTGCCAGTCATCACGCCCGGCCATTCAAAGCTTTTTGATGTGGGTATTTTGTGCTATTCCCACTTAATGCTGCTTTAGGTACATTCCAGAGATTCTGGTACATTGCATCTTTTTTCTTACTGGTTTCAAAGACTTTGTTGATTTCTGACTTAATTTTACTTAATCTTTTTTTTTTTTTTTTGACACAGAGTTTCGCTCTTGTTACCCAGGCTAAAGTGCAATGACGCGATCTCGGCTCACGCAACCTCCGCCTCCTGGGTTCAGGCAATTCTCCTGCCTCAGCCTCCTGAGTAGCTGGGATTACAGGCACGCACCACCATGCCCAGCTAATTTTTTGTATTTTTAGTTGAGACGGGGTTTCACCATGTTGCCCAGGATGGTCTTGATCTCTTGACCTTGTGATCCACCCGCCTTGGCCTCCCAAAGTGCTGGGATTACAGGCTTCAGCCACCGTGCCTGGCCAATTTTTTTTTTTAACAGTCTCTGGAGTGCGATGGCATGATCTCAACTCACTGCAACCTCCGCCTCCCAGGTTCAAGTGGTTCTCCTGCCTCAGCGTCCTGAGTAGCTGGGACTACAGGCGCCCACCATCACACCCAGTTACTTTTTGTATTTGTAGTAGAGACGGGGTTTTACTCTCTTGGCCAGGCTGGTCTCAAACTTCTGACCTGGTTATCCACCCACCTTGGCCTCCCAAAGTGCTCAGATTACAGGCTTGTGCCACAGTGCCTGGCCCTTAATTTTACTATTTACCCAGAAGTCATTCAGCGGCATGTTGTTCAATTTCCATGTGGTTGTATAGTGTTGAGGTTTTTGTTTGCTTGTTTTTAGATGAAGTTTCACTTTTTCGCTCAGGCTGGTGTGCAGTGGTGTGATCCCAGCTCATTACAACCTCTGCCGTCCAGTTTCAAGCAATTCTTCTGCCTCAGCCTCCCAAGTACCTGGGATTAGAGCTGCCCGCCACACACCCAGCTAATTTTGTATTTTTAGTACAGACTGGATTTCACCATGTTGGCCAGGCTGGTCTCAAACTCCTGACCTTGTGATTCACTTGCCTTTGCTCCCAAAGTGCTGGGATTACAGTTGTGAGCTATCAGACCGGCGGTAGATTCTAATTTGATTGCACTGTGCTGAGAGAGATTGTTATAATTTTAGTTCTTTTGCATTTACTGAGGAGTGTTTTACTTCAATTATGCGACCACTTTCAGGCTAACTGCCATGTGGAACTTAGAAGAATGTGTGTGTCATTTTTGGCGGGAGAGTTCTGAAGATCTCTGTCAGGTCCGCTTAACCCAGAGCTGAGTTCAAGCCCTAAATATCCTTGTTCCTTTTTTTCAGAATTATCTGTCTACTATTGGCAGTGAGGTGTTAAAGTCTCCCACTGTTATTGTGTGGCAGTCTAAGTCTTTTTTTAGGTCTCTAAGAATGTGTTTTTTTAAATCTGAGTGCTCCTTGAATTGATTCTTTTAGCGTTATGTAATGGTCTTTTTGTCTTTTTTGATCTTTGTTAGTTCAAAGTCTGTTTGTCAGAAACAATGGCTGCAACCCCTGCCTTTGCTTCTGCTTTTATTTGCTTGGTAAATTTTTTTTTTTTTTAGCCTATTTGTGTCTTTGCATGTGAGATCAGTCTTTTTTGTTTTTTTGGGGGGGGAGGAGGAAGGCAGGAAGGGAGGGAAGAAGGACGGTCGAAGGAAGGGATGAAGGAAGGAAGGAAGGGAGGAAGCGGGGAGGGAGGGAGGGAGGGAGAGAAGGGAAGGAAGGAAATCAAGCAATGAGAGAGACATTGCTGACCTGGATCTAGAGGTTTACAAGTTGATTTCTTTTTCATTGAGAGAAAGAAAGAAAAAAAATAATAAGTAAAGGAGAGGAAGAAAGAGGAAGAGAAAGAGGGAGAGTAAATGAAAATATTGCTTTATTTTGAAAAAAATTGGGTATTAATGATGGCCAATCAATGTTTCATTTAAGCTTATGGGTAGGTGTGATGTGGTATTGACAAAAATGTATATTTTGTGTATTTGAAGTGGAGCGCTCTATAAATATTTATTAAGTTTACTTGTTCCGGATCTGAGTTCGAGTCCTTGATATCCTTATTAATTTTCTGTCTCATTGAATCTAAGTCTCATATCTGGGTGTTAGGATCGTTAGCTCTTGTTGTTGCATTGATCCTTTTACCACTATATCTTTGTTGCTTTAAAATCTATTTTCTCCGATACGAGAATTGCAACTCCTGCTTTTTATTTATTTATTATTTATTTTTGCTCTCCATTTGGTTGGTAAATCTTTCTCCATCCCTTTGTTTTGAGTCTTTGTGTATCCTTGCATGTGAAACAGGTCTGGATGTAACATGCCATTGGGTTTTGGCTGTGTCTTTTGATTGGGGGATTTAGTGAATTTAAATTTAGGGTTACTGCCATTTGATGTTGACTGGCTGTTTTATCCATTCGTTGGTATAAATTCTTCTTTATGTTGGTGCTCTTTACTTTTTGGTGTATTTTTAGAAAGGCTAATACTGGTTGTTTCTTTCTGTGTGTAATGCTTCTTTCAGAAGCTCTTGTAAAGCAGGCCTGGTGGTAATAAAATCTCTGAGTTCCTGCTTGTTCATAAAAGATTTTATTTTTCCTTCAGTTGTGAAGCTTAGTTTGGCTGGATATGAAATTCTGGGCTGAAGGTTCTGTTCTTTGAGGATGTTGAATATTGGCCCCCACTCTCTTCTGGCTTGTAGGGTTTCTGCTGAGAGATCTGCTGTAAATCTGATAGGCTTGCCTTTGTGGGTAACCTGACCTTTCTCTCTGGCTGCCCTTAGTATTTTCTCCTTCGTTTCAACCCTGGTGAATCTAACGATTATGTGCCTTGGGGTTGCTCTTCTTGAGGAATATCTTTGTGGTGTTCTCTGTATTACCTGGGGTTGAATGTTGACCTGCTTTGCTAGTTTAGGAAAATTTTCCTGAATAATATCCTGAAGGGTATTTTCCAGCTTGGATTCATTCTCTCCGTAGCATTCAGGTACACCTATCAAACGTAAATTTGGTCTTTTCACATAGTCCCACATTTCTTGGAGACTTTGCTCATTCCTTTTTATCCTTTTTTCTCTAATCTTTTCTTCGCATTTTATTTCATTAAGTTGGACTTTGACCTCTGATATCCTTTCTTCTGCTTGAACAATTCGAGTGTTTAAACCTGTGCATACTTCTCAGAGTTCCTGTATTGTATTCTTCAGTTCCATTAATTCACTCATACTCCTCTCTAGGTTGTCTATTCTCAATAGGATTTCATCAAACCTTTTTTCAAAGTTCCTAGTTTCTTTACGTTGGGCTACAACATGTTCTTTTAACTCACTGAAGTTTGTTATTATCCATTCCTTGAAGAGTGATTCTGTCATCAGGATGCGCTCGTTCTCCATCGAGCCTTGTTCCATTGTTGATGTGGAACTGTGATCATCTTTAGAGGGAGAGGAGTTCTGACTTTGAGTATTCTCAGATTTTTTATGCTGGTTTCTTCCCGTCATTGTAAATTTATCCTCCTGTTGTCTTTGAAATTACGAACTTTCAGATTAGGTCTCTTGAGTGGATGTCCAGGTTGTTAGTTCCCGGGCCAGAGCAGCGGCGTTAAAACTGATGGGCTTTTCTGCCCAGGATTCTCCTGTCCGGCTTCCTTCTTGTGTCCATAGTAGGTGACTCTGCCTTCCCGGGGCTCCAAACCTCGGTCAGAAGGGGAACTGGTCCTGTTTACTCTGCGCCGAGCGCTGACGCGCCAAGGTGCCTTCGCAGCCGCTGCTGCTGCGCCGGCTCTGGTGCCCTGCTGGGGACCCGTGTGGGTCCTTCAAACCTGTTTACTCTGCTCCGAGAGCTGCCGCGCCGAGGTGCCGGCGGAACCGCTGCGCCAGCCACGAGAGTCGCGGTGGCCACCCGTGTGTTTCCGCCACTGGGGGATCTTCTGCTCCGTGAGCGACCAGAATTTGTCTGAAAGTGTGGCCTCCTCTAGTTCTCCGCGCCTTCCCTGAGAGCTGCAATCCCGGGATGTTAGCGATCGGCCATCTTGAATCGTTCTCCTTTTTTTTTTTTTTTTTTTGAGACAAAGTTTCACTTTTGTTTTGCCTGGAGTGCTGGTGTGCAATGGTGTGAACTTGGCTCACCACAA